CCAGGGCTCTGATTGGGTTATTCCCAGTATATGTGAGTCGTAGTGCTGGCTAAGCGCTGTTACATGTGAACACTGGCCAAGCACTGCTACTCTCTCCCATCTGACCAACAAAGAAACTGCGGATCTGAGAGGTTACGGCCTTGGCTGACGGTCAATACAGTTTGGACCCTCAAATCAGCACTATTAAAAATCTTTTAAAATAATTATTTTTTATTTTTTTTGAGGCAGAGTCTCACTTACTCTGTTGCCCAGGCTGGAGTGCAGTGGTGTGATCTTGGCTCTCTGCAATCTCCACCTCCTGGGTTCAAGCGATTCTCCTGCCTCTGCCTCTCGAGTAGCTGGGATTACAGGTGTGCACCACCCCTCACCAGCCCAGCCCTCGCCCCCTGGTCTTCTCACATTCACCACGGCCAGGTCAGGCCAGGCCAGACCCGACACCTCCCTGGGGCATAGCCATCTCCTCCCACTGCTTTGTGTTTATCAACAGCACGGCCATCCTGTCACCTGTCAATTCCCCTCCCTGCTTCTGGAATTGTCATCTGAATCGGTTGCCTCCCTCTCTTTCACACCTCTCTTCCAGTCTGTCACCCATCAGTTCTTCCCAGAATAACCATAATACCATTTATGGTGCTTCACATACATCAGTTCAGTTTCCTCCCCGACAGTGGAAATGTGATAAAGCTGCAACATGAGGACACATGAAATCAGCTGCACATTGAGAAACCCAAGCCCAGGTGCGTTTGTTCGTGTAAACTTGGCACCGAAGCTAAACTCAGACAAAGCTCAGAGCACCACCCTGGCCAGGACCCACAGCTCTCTCACACTTGTTTGTACTCCTGCCCTTCAGTGTGCCAAGCTCCCTAAGCCTCCTCCAGGTAGCTGCTAGCTGAGGGGCCTATGGCCTTGGCCTGGGCCTCCAGGGAAGCCTGGAGGGAAACAGCTGTGAAATCTCACCTGGGCTCCTGGACCACCACTCAGCTGGCACACCTGGGTCTTCCTGAGTAAGTAACAATCATTCGTTCATCCACAGCTATTAACCGAGAGTCGACCTGGGTACTCTCCTAGGTGCTAGGAATACCACCATGAACGAAACAGGCATGGCTCTGCCTTCTTGGAGTTTTACAGCGGAGTGGGACAGACAAACAAATAAATATATTAAAACAAGAACCGTGAAAGAAAAAAGATGTCATAAGGGAAAGAATCTAGGAAAGAAAACAGGGTGCCATAGGGAGAGATTCTGTCTTAAATGGGTGGTCAGGAAGCCTCTCTAATGAAGTGACAGTTTGCTGAGATCTGCTGGCCATTCTGCAGGAACAGCATCCCAGGTGGAGGGAACATCACAGGCAAAGACCCTAGAGTGTGGGACCCAGAAGCAGGAGGAAGGCCAGAGCAGCTGGAGCACCAGGGGGAGGGGAAGAGGTGGGGAGAGAGGATTCCCCCGGGAGGCAGGTGGGCGGGGCCGGGACGGGAACTTTTTAAATAAAAAGTTAAAAGGAAAAGTCTCTTTTCCTTTTAACTTTTTATTTGAAAATAATTCTAAGGCCGGGCGCGGTGGCTCAAGCTTGTAATCCCAGCACTTTGGGAGGCCGAGGCGGGTGGATCACAAGGTCGAGAGATCGAGACCATCCTGGTCAACATGGTGAAACCCCATCTCTACTAAAAATACAAAACATTAGCTGGGCATGGTGGCGCATGCCTGTAATCCCAGCTACTCAGGAGGCTGAGGCAGGAGAATTGCCTGAACCCAGGAGGCGGAGGTTGCGGTGAGTCGAGATCATGCCATTGCACTACAGCCTGGGTAACAAGAGCGAAACTCCATCTCAAAAAAAAAAATAATAGTAATTCTAAACTTACAAAAAGTTGCTCAAACAGAAATAGCACAAACAACACTACACTCTGGCTGGGCGCGGTGGCTCATGCTTGTATTCCCAGCGCTCTGGGAGCCCAAGATGGGTGGATCGCTTGAGGCCAGGAGTTTGAGACTGGCATAGCCCACAGAGCAAAACCCCATCTCTACTAAACATTCAAAACAGTAGCTGGGTGTGGTGGCACATGCCTGCAATCCCAGTGCCTACAGAGGCTGAGGTGAGAGGATCGTTTGAACCCCAGGAGGCAGAAGTTTTGGTTAGCTGAGATCATGCCACTGCACTCCAGCCAGGGCGACAGAGTGAGACTATGTCTCAACAACAACAAAAGAATACTATATACTCTAACTCAGACTGAACTATTTGCTCACTCTTTCTTTACACGTATGTACACGCACACACATGCACACACACATGCACACACACATGCACACACACATGCACACACATGCATGCCTTGTTTTTCTGAACCATTTGAGGGTCAGTCACATACCTCATGACCCTCTACCCTTAACTACCCCACTATATTTCCTAAGAATAGGGATATTCTCTTCCATAACCACAGTAATCAGCTGCATAAATTTCCATTAATACAATATCTTACTCTACTGTTTAAATCTGATTTTATCAATGGACCCAATAATGACCTTTATAGCATGCCCCCCACTCTCCCACCCCCACAAAATACAGGATCTAGTCTAGAGTAAGGTATTGCTATTTTTGGTTTTTTTTTTTTTTTTGAGATGGATTTTTGCTCTGTTGCCCAGACTGGAGTGCAATGACACAATCACGGCTCACTGCAACCTCTGCCTATTGGGTTTAAGCAATTTTTCTGTCTCAGCATCCCAAGTAGCTGGGATTACAGACATGCGCCACCATACCCGACTAATTTTGTATTTTTAGTAGAGACAGAGTTTCTCCACGTTGGTCAGGCAGGTCTCGAACTCCCGACCTCGGGTGATCCCCCACCTCAGCCTACCAAAGTGCTGGGATTACAGGCATGAGCCACCATGCCCGGACAGTATTGACTTTAATATCTTTTGTGTGTCTTTTAATCGGAACATTTCAAAGGTCTTTCATGACTAATACTTTTCAAGAATACAGCCTCACCCATTTTTAATAGCGTGTTCCTCATCTTGTGTTTGTCTGATGTTTTCTCATGATTACTTTGGGCTCTGCAGTCTCAGCTAGAATCCCACACAGGGGATATGTCCTTTTCAGGGTATCACATGTGGAGGCATGAGAGACATTAATTTTGATCCCCCAGTCAGTATGTTACCCAGTATAATTACTGTTATTTTCTTCCCCTGCAACTAATAAGCAGTTTGTAAGGAAACTCTTTAAGACTATGCAGATGTCCTGTGCATAATCAAAACTACCCCCTGCATTTAGCATCCACTGATTGAATCTTTACCTGAAGATGATGATTTTCCAACTCTAGCACTCTCTCCACATTTAACAATGTAGTCTAAGCATTCCACTGGAAGCAAGCGCCCTGTCTGCTACCTCATTTATTTGTTTACCAACTTATTATTGGTATGAACTCATGAGTTCCTTTAATAGTTTTAATTCATTCTAACACATAATTACTCTGGTGCTCAAACTGTCCCAGATTTGGCCAGTGGGAGCCCTTCCATCTGGCCCCTGTGTCCTGTGACATTGCAGGTCTTAGTGTGCTATGCTTCTGCAATGCTCTTTTCTTCTCAGGGCTCTTTGTCTTCTGTTATTTTCTTGGAGTTTAGAACTATGTGACCTAAGTGCTGAGAGGGGAGTGAAGACGATCCTAGTACAGCCCTTTAGTTTGTCATTGAGAAAACGGAGGCTCTGAGAGGGGAAGTGGCTTGCCAAGTCCACGTGGGTTGGAGAAGACCGTCGGAACTCAGAATTAGGCCATGCCTGAGTGAAAATAAACAATGACGTCTGCCCATTTGGGTCACCTCATATGGGGTAGACACTGTGCTAGATGCTTCTTTACATACACATCTGCGTTGAATGCCCCCAACATCTGTGATGTAAGCACTCCAGAAGCAGCTGCCAAGCCCCAAGTTAAAATACATAACTTTCCCAGAGTCACCACCATGGAGATGTAGTAACGGGGTCCAAATCCAAATCTCGGTGGTTAGGGGCTGGATATCTGCTGGAGTTGGTGGTGGGATGTGGGATATGTATCTTCTGGAGTTGGTGGTGGGATGTGAGGATGTGTATCTGTTGGAGCTGGTGGTGAGTGATGTGGGATGTGTATCTGCTCGAGTTCGTGGTGGGATGTGAGGATGTGTATCTGTTGGAGTTGGTGGTGGGATGTGAGGATGTGTATCTGCTGGAGTTGGTGGTGAGTGATGTGGGATGTGTATCTGCTGGAGTTGGTGGTGAGTGATGTGGGATGTGTATCTGCTGGAGTTGGTGGTGAGTGATGTGGGATGTGTATCTGCTGGAGTTGGTGGTGAGTGATGTGGGATGTGTATCTGCTGGAGTTGGTGGTGAGTGATGTGGGATGTGTATCTGCTGGAGTTGGTGGTGAGTGATGTGGAATGTGTATCTGCTGGAGTTGGTGGTGGGATGTGAGAATGTGATGAGCTGGAACTGATGTGCTTGGCCTGTCCAGGCGACTCTTTGCCCAGATGAGCACCGATTCTCTGTAGCAAAGGAACAGTGCTGTGGTGGCGAGGGCAGGGCCTCATAGCCTCAGATGGTCTGGGCTATAGACCTTAGACCCTGCGTATCACCCACATCTGGCCCCATATTCCGATGCCCAGCTGCCACCTCCAGCCTGGGCCAGCAGAGCCACCCAGGGAGGAAGGTAGAACCAAGGAGCTGCCATCTCTCAAGGAGGGTGCTTGGGAATCTCTTGGTGCTGCAGCCCAGTGGTTCGATAGGCCAAGGTGGGGGCCCACGTCAGGTCCCCCAACCCCTCCCCTTCCAGAGAGGCCCTGATGAAGGGACCGAGGTTCTGCCCCCAGCGGGACGTGCCCAGCCCAGGGTTGGGATGTGGGGATGTGGGGACAGGGCTAGGCTGGTGAAGCAGGTGGACTGGCCGGTGGTGGGGAAGACTGAGGTGCTGCCCCCGCCCTCCTGGCCCAAAACCAGGGCGAGATAATTTTTCGAGACCACCGAGCCCTGGCCGCCCCTTACCCGCAGGCTTCCAGGATGTGCACGTGATGGTATTCGTGGGCTTCGGCTTCCTCATGACCTTCCTGCAGCGCTACGGCTTCAGCGCCGTGGGCTTCAACTTCCTGCTGGCAGCCTTCGGCATCCAGTGGGCGCTGCTCATGCAGGGCTGGTTCCACTCCTTCCAAGACAACCACATCCTCGTGGGCGTGGAAAAGTGAGCGCGGGCGGCCTGGGGTGGGGGACTGGGCACGACGGGGCTGGGCGGATGGGCCTGAGGCAGGGGGTCTGGCTGGGATGGGGCTGGGCAGGTGGGCCCATGGAGGCGGGTGCCCAGTGGCGGGGCCAGGGCTTGGGGCTAGAAGGCAAGTCATCCTTCAGGGCATACTGGGCCTACGAGACACACATACACACACACACACACACACACACACACACACGCACTCACAGACTCACACACACAAGTCTCTAACACATTCTGACACACTAACACACACATCCACTTGCACACACACACACATACACAGACACACTTGCACACACACAACACTAAGACATTCTGATACACTAACACACATCCACTCACACACACACTCACACTCACATACATACACACTCAGGCCACACTGGGCCTGTGAAACACACACACACTGAACTCACACACTCACACATACTCGCAGGCCACACTGGGCCTGTGAGACACACACACACACACACACACACACACACACACACACCCCTCGCTTTCTGACCAGCGATTCTCCAGGGTGGACATCATCCAGGTGCCATAGGAAGGTCTCCCTTTTCCAATAACAAAAGCTGCAGGGACTTGAGGCTAGACTTTCCTCCGGGGGCAGGGCCGGCCGGGCCTGGCACATCAAAATCTCCCAGGCCTGGTGGGAGAGCTGGGATGTCTCTGCCAGCCTCAGAGGCTCCTTGTGGAGGAAACTGAATGGGGACTCCAGCTGAATGAAGGTACCTCTCTCCCTGCCTTGCCTCACCACACCCACTCCCCAGGGAACAGGTGTTGGAAACAGCTGTGAGGCAGGAGAAGGTGTGGAGTGGTAGTGCTGAAGCTCCCCTCCCCTGCCTCAGCCTTCAAGGGTGGAGCACCCCACAGTCACTTCTCAGCTCTGTCCTTCTCCTGACTCCTGTGATGACTTGCTCTGATGAGCACCACCAACCCCTTCTCATCAGGTGACTCAGCCCCTCCCTCTGTTCTGCAGTGACTCCTCCAAGCCTCAATATACCTCCCCAACCTACACCACCATGAACAGGTTATAAAATAAATCCACCCAAAGCCAACTCGCCAAAAAATCGATGGACAAAGTGGTCAGCTCACTGAATGACTCATTGATCAAAGTGTCCATCCCATGGCAGCTTATGAAACCTACAGCAATTTGTGTTGCTCAGGTCCTAATCAAGAGCCTTTGGGAGATTTTTCTCGCTTTAGCCAAGTTTTAGTCTCTTGGAGGTTCTCCTTTAAGTCCAGTTCAGACAGACTTTTTGTCAACATATGACAAGTTTGGCTAAAGAAAAAAAAAATCTGTTTTCCTCCATTCTCCCATCCTTCAAGAAAAAAAAAATTTAATTTGAGAAAGTAATCATTGGCGTGTGAAAATGAACATTCATTAGCTTGCTTATAAACTAAGTTCACAGAAAGGGCTTAGAGGCAAACTGGTATAAAACCGCATTTAAAGGGCAAGTCCCTGATGTTACCTTTAGGGTACCAACCAGGTGTTGGAAGCCAGATGTCTGAAATCTAGGACACGTGTCAAATATTTACAAAAAATTACTTCATTCAAGCCAGCTAATTAATCCATGAATTAAGAGACACAGGAAAGATGGTCAACTGGATAGGTGTTGGAACTAATAAAATAGTGTTTTTGTGTCGAAGACTCTTGACATGTGTCTCACCCTGAAGTTCAAAATGCCTAAGAAGTTATCATGCTTGAAGCCATAGATCCCAAGTATAAACATACCTGGAATATATATCATTGGCTAAATGAATATTTTTTAATCTCAAAAAAATTCAAAGGAATTATTACAAACCCTGAGTTAATGGGTTTTTGGGGACCCAGTTATTTAGCAAGTTGGTCACTTGAAAAACTGAGTTTGTGGGAGGCTGAGGCAGGAGAATCACTTGAACCCAGGAGGCAGAGGTTGCAGTGAGCTGAGATTGCACCACTGCACTCCAGCCTGGGCGACAGAGGTAGGCTCTGTCTCAAAAGGAAAAAAAAAAAAAAGGAAAAGAAAAAGAAAGAATAACTGAATTTGGATGAATTGGCTCTCAAGGGACTAATTTTTCAGCACCTGACTTGTGCTAAAAAATTTCTGGTGCCCAGGGCTGGGATAAACATGTCCTCAGACCTGACCTGGCGGATCCAGAGATGTGGCCCCTCCCCTGGTTTCTGTCCTGTCCCTGCTGAAGACTCATCCAAGTCCCACCTGTCACTGTAGAAAGTGCCCCTCTGCAGGCTCTGCCCAAGCCTTGAGGTCAAGAGTTCGAGACCATCCTGGCCAGCATGGTGAAACCCCATCTCTACTCGGCCCTCCTGAGATGTGGCATCTGGATCTCCATCTCCCGGGTGCTGCTGCTAGACCAAGGGGTGGGCTTTTCTGTTCTCTCTCTCTCTTTTTTTTTTTTTTTTTTTTTTTTTTTTTTGAGGCTGAGTCTCACTCTGTCACCCAGGCTGGAGTTCAGTGACGTGATCTCAGCTCACTGCAACCTCCATCTCCCAGGTTCAAGCCATTCTCGTGCCTCAGCCTTCCGAGTAGCTAGGATTTACAGGTGCTCACCACCACACCTGGCTAAGTTTTGTATTTTTATTAGAGATGGGGTTTCACCATGCAGGCCAGGGTGGTCTTGAACTCCTGACCTCAAGTGATCTGCCCACCCTGGGATTACAGGTGTGACCCACCACGCCTGGCCAATCTCTCTCCTTTCTAATGGTCGCTTCTATCAAGATGAGTCTTCTGAGTACAGTGATGGGATCTTGGGAAAAATAACTCAGCCTCTTTGAGTCTCCATGTCCCATCTAAATGATGTGGCTCATGATGGTGCCTGTCCTGTATGGCTCAGGGATGGCACAGGAGGGCATACACAGTTCTTAGTAGAGATCCTGGAGCCTAGCACTTAGGAACTGCCACTGCTCATTTAGCCGGGCCCTGTATCAGGCCCTGGGGACGCAGCAGTGAATGAGGCAGCAGTGGCGTGGACAGTCCAGTAAACACTCTCTGTCTTGGGAAGGACCCCACCCCCATTCCCCTAACTGGTCCTACAATTAGCTTTGTTCTCACTCCTCACCCCATTCTCTCTCTCATACACACAGCCCTGAGCATGGAAGGGTAAGGGAGTGCACTCTAAATGTGACAGCCTTGAGGAATTAGCCCCTTTTATCACTACACCCATCCCACTAACAACTCTCCTGGCCTGAGGCCACACTGAGGGTCTTGCCCTGGAATCCAGAGGACAGCTTTGCTGCTGGCAGGGAACAAGGAGGACCAGCTTGGGCAAAGCGGGCACATGGATGGAACCAGGGTCTACACAATGTCCACCCAGCTGTCACCTCTTCATCAGCCTTCTGCCAAGCTGGCAGGTATTCAGGGCTCAGGCTTGAGCAGGACCCATGTACCTGCCCCTTTGCCTCCATTCTCCCTGCTGGACTTCCTGCCCCCTCCTTCCATCCAGTACCACCCCAGCTCCCTCCTTCCTGTAGGAAGGGCCTTCTGTCTCTTCCCTGGACATAGATCCTCTCTCATGGAGAAAGTAAAGGGAAGGTCCCAATAGCTCAAACTCAAGCAAGGCCTTGGTCATCAACAAAGAAGTTTGTGCAGAGTGAGAGAGAAGGATCTGGAGGCAGAAATGGCATCAGGTTGGAGGAATCAGGAAGGCTTCCTGAAAGAGGAGGCAGTGAGAGGAGGTTCTAGAAGAGCAGATAGAAGCTACGGGGCAGGGCAGGACCCCAAATAGGGGACATGTTCAACAGTAACAGCCAGACCACACTGGTGCCTGAGCCTGAGCTGCCTGCAAGCAGTGGGGGCCTGAGGTGAGGTTGCATGGGGTGGGGAATCTAGAGTGCTGCTGGACTGGGCCTGTCTCATGTGTGGTTTAATTCTCGGAGTAGCCCTAAATGTTAGGTGCCCATTAGTGTAGACAATGAAACTGAGGCTCAGAAAGGTTAAGCCGCAAGCCCAAATCCATATATGACCAAAGTCCAGGGCTTCCAGCGCCTCCTGTCGCTGTTGCCCCAGCTTCCCCACTGGTCTGTCTCCCCACAGCCTCATCAATGCTGACTTCTGTGTGGCCTCTGTCTGCGTGGCCTTCGGTGCAGTTCTGGGTAAAGTCAGCCCCATTCAGCTGCTCATCATGACTTTCTTCCAAGTGACTCTCTTTGCTGTGAATGAGTTCATTCTGCTTAACCTGCTGCAGGTGAGAGGGGCTCAGAATGGGGATGGGGTGGAGGGGATGCTTTGGGGGACAGCGGGGCATGGAGGAAGAGATGGCTGGGGAGACGTGCCAGCCTGGTGAGTCACTCAGTTTTCTCATCTCTAAAGTGGGAGTCATGATATCTACCAGGCAGGTACCATAGTCCACCTGGCAGATCAACTCAGCACCTGGGCACAGCAGGGCTTCTTTGAATGTGGTTTTTTCCCCTCCTCTCTTCCCCGCACATCAGGTGGAAGGAGTAGGCTATCCCTGCACATTCTCTTGCACACGTACCACATTTGCAGATTGCTCTGCCAAGAAAAGGGATCCAGTGTATCGAGGGGGCAGATCTATAGGGCCGGATCCCCGGTGAATGGTCAAGGTGGCCGTGGTGTGTGCTACCCAACCCAGAGCTGCCATTCACGTGGACCATGACAGGAGTGCTGCTCCCTGGGGAAGGTCACTTTGGCGGCTCAGATCAGGGGCACCTGAGACCTTTGACTGTGTCTCAGAAGCCTCCTTGGTGCCTTTGGACAGCAGGTTCTCACACAGAAACGGCATGCTTTTCTTAGCTGCCTCCCCCTCTACATTTGGACTCTGTCTGGAACTCCCCCTACTTGGAAGGTGTTGATTTACGTCACCCTAAATTCAGTCATTCATCATTTTTTTCAGCTACCACATTAGTCCAAGGTACCATATCTCTTCCTCCTAACTCATCTCCCTGGCTGGATTCTTGCCTTCCTTGTCCCTAGGGCAAGTCACCTCCAGCAGCCAGAGCGGCCTGTAAATAATGCATAGAAGACCATTCACCCAGTGAACATCTATCAGCGGTTTTAACGTTTCATTTAGGAGAAAACACCAACTTGTCATAAGGCCCTTCCTGTTCTGGTACCAACTTTCCTGTCCACTTGCTGTCTGCTGTCTCCCCATCTTCCTGTGCTTCGCCATAGCCTGCTCTCTGCTCTTCACGCACAGAGCTCAGCCCCACCTCCGGGCCTGTTCCCTGGCTGTTCCCTTTGTCTACGAGGGTCCTCTCTCAGTCCTTTGCATTACTGCATCTCAGTGTGCACATCCTCTCATTTTTTGTTGTTGTTGTTGAGATGGAGTCTCACTCTGTTGTCCAGCCTGGAGTGCAAGGGCGCCGTCTCAACTCACTGCAACCTCTGCCTCTCGGGTTCAAGTAGTTCTCATGCCTCAGCCTCCACAGTAGCTGGGATTACAGGTGCAAGCCACCATGGCTGGCTAATTTTTGTGTTTTTAGTAGAGACAGGTGTCACCATGTTGGCCAGGCTGGTCTTGAACTCCTGACTGCAAGTGATCTGCCTGCCTCAGCCTCCCAAAGTGCTGGGATTACAGGCGTGAGCTGCCGTGCTCGGCCTTGCGTATCCTGTCCTAAGAGAAGCTCTGCAGGCTTTCTCTAGACAGTGTCCCCATCTACCTCACCTCTCCCATTGCTTTCACACTACCTTGGTGTATTTTCTCTGCTGCATTTATTTCATCTGCGAAGGGAAGAAAGTCTTAACCACCTGGACCCCCCAGCACCTAGCCCAGTGTCTACATAGGAGTCTGACTGCATGTCAGGGAATGCTCCAGGCTCTAGGAGGTAGAGGTGAGTGGGACTGGCACTTAGACCCCTAGAAGCTCACGGTCAGGTGAGGGAACCAGGAAGTACATCGGCAGTGAGCCTGTGCTGTGATAAGAAGCACGTCGAAGGGCAAGGGCTCAGTGGCCCAGAGGAGAGTTCAAAGCAGCCTGGCAGGTCAGGGAGGCTTCCTGGAGGAGGAGAAGTCAAAGCCAGAAGTCACGTAGGAGCTCAGCAGGCAAAGGGGCAAGTGAGGGCATTCGAAGTAGAAAGAACCTCGAGTACACAGGGCTGGAGACAGATGCACAGCGAGGGCTCCACAGTGGCTGTGGCTGGAAAGGGGCTGTGCTGAGAGGGAGGTCGTGGGTGACGGGTGAGGGGGAACACAGGTCACCCAGCCCTCAAGAAACAGTGTTAAGGAGCCTTGCCTGTATCATGAGGGCAGTGGGGAGGTCAGCAGGGAGTGATGTGGTCAGACACATGTAAAGGAAACACCGCTTTCCCTAGGGTGACAAGAACATTTGGGAGGCAGAAGTCCCAGCTAAGAGGTTGTTCTGGTCGCTGTGGTGACAGATCATGGGACTAAGACTGGGTTAGCACAGTGGGAACAAGTGGAGGAGCCAGGAGCCACCAGGAGGAGAATAAAGGCCTTGGAGACTGCGTGGGATGAGGGAGAGGGAGGACAGAGGCTTGTTCGGGGGTAGGCTGTGGGGCCAGTCACTGAGATGGGAGACAGGCTGGTAAGGTGATATCTTGGGGATGAGTTAAGAGGCAGGAAAGGGCCAGGTGTGCTGGCTCAGGCCTGTAATCCCAGCACTTTGGGAGGCCGATGTGGGCGGATCACCTGAGGTTGGGAGTTTGAGACCAGACTGATCAACAGGGAGAAACCTCATCTCTACTGAAAATACAAAATTAGCTGGGCATGGTGGCGGGCACGTGTAATCCCAGGTACTCAGGAGGCTGAGGCAGGAGAATCACTTGAACCCAGGAGGCAGAGGTTGCTATGAGCCAAGATCACACCATTGCACTCCAGCCTGGGCTACAAGAGGGAAACTTCATCCAAAAAAAAAAAAAAAAAAAAAAAAAAAAAAAAAAAAAAAAGGCAGAGAAAGCTCCTATGCCCTCAAAACCCCTCCCCAGTCTACTACAGAATTATTTTAACACATGACAGTCTTTTAGCCTCTCAAGTTGAAACACAGTAATGGTTCACGTGTAAGGTGTGCTGGCCCTTTGCTGGGCCCCAATGTGCACATTTTCCATGGGTTAACTCTTAATCCTTAGCTCTGATATTGGCACAATTATTACCCCCATTTTATTTCATTATTATTATTTTTGAGACGGAGTTTTGCTCTGTCGCCCAGGCTGGAGTGCAGTGTTGCAATCTCAGCTTACTGCAACCTCTGCCTCCGGGGTTCAAGCAATTCTCATGCCTCAGCTTCCCGAGTACCTGGGATTACAGGCACATGCCACCATGCTTAGCTAATTTTTGTATTTTTAGTAGAGACCATGTTGATCAGGCTGATCTCGAACTCCTGACCTCAGGTGATTCACGTGCTTCAGACTCCCAAAGTGCTGGGATTACAGACATGAGCCACCACTGTGCCTGGCTTACCCCCATTTTATAGATGAGAAAGCTGAGGCTCAGAGAGATTAAGTGGTTCACCTAAGGTCACACAGCTAGTAGAGGCATCTGCTAGGCTGGGAGTCGAGAATTTCAGCCCTGTCAACAACCTTGGATGACACACTTACGTCTTGGGCTGGGTTTCCCGCATCTAAAGTGAAGGAGTGAGTCTATGATTCTATTCATCTGAGATTGGTTGTGAATGGGGAGGAGGAGGCTGTTAAAGAGAAGGGGAGGTGAGTGTGAGGAGGACCAACATTAGTCAGGCACCTGTTGAGCACCAGGCCCTCCCCAGGGGCAAGTCTCCTGCAAAAATGCTGACAACAGCCCTGCTATGTCACTGGGATCAGCCCTGTGGCATCAACAGAGAGGCTGAGGCCTGAAGAAGTCAAATGAGAGGCACAGAGGCAGAAACCAGTGAGTGAGCAAACAGGCAGAGGCTTTCCCTGGGTTCTGCCTCTGCCCCTCCTCCTCCAGCTGTGGGAGCAAATCCCTCTCCAGGCCTGGGTTTCCCCATCTGGGAACAGCAACATCTGCTGGATGAGGACATCCTGGAATTTTGCTGGTAGGGATCCCTACCTTCTCCCCCACATTACCAGTTGATTGGGCCGTGAAGGCCCCAGGCTCCTTCCTGCACCGAGGAGTCCGAGCTCTGGGCGTGTGTGTGTGGCAGAATGGGGACTGCTATGAGGAGGGAGGGAGAGAGGGTGCCAGGGTCTGACAGGCCCCTTGAACCCCAGGTGAAGGATGCAGGGGGCTCCATGACCATCCACACATTCGGCGCCTACTTTGGGCTCACAGTGACCCGGATCCTCTACCGACGCAACCTAGAGCAGAGCAAGGAGAGAGAGAGTTCTGTGTACCAGTCGGACCTCTTTGCCATGATTGGTGAGAACTGCCATGATGACTGAGGGCCACCATGATGGGTGAAGGTGGCGGCCATGATCAGACCTGATCCCCACATGGTATGGTGGTGGGTGGCTGCCAGTTCTCTTTGGGGGAAGGGCAGACAGAGGTTGCCTGTAGATACTTCTAGAATCCCACATGACTGTCCCTCTTCCCCAAGGAGCTGAAAGAAGTTGGTCACTCATCTTGTATTTCCCCTACAATGTCCCAATGCAGACACAGCGGTAACCAGGAACTGCTCACTCCATCCCTGGGCTAGGGCAGGATGTGCATTTCCACTTCCTGTGTCCATTCATTCCAGAGAACACACTGACCACACCTGTTCTGGTCTCTCAAAACCCAGCCCTGCCCTCCAGGAGCTCCTGACAGTGTAGTGAAAGAGACAGCAGTGCCACCCGGAGGATCTCCCTTCGGCGGAGAAAAGATTCTCCCTCTTGGTGCTGTGGGAACAGGGTGGGGACAGGGGTCAGGGTGGACTTCCTGGTGCAGATAGCTGGGTGTGGGGGTCATCTCCAGAGCTAAAAGACAGGACGCCTGCCTGAGCCGTGGGCCTACCTAATGCCTCTCCCCCCCGGGCCTGTCGGCCCTGTCTGGTCTGACCAGGCACCCTCTTCCTGTGGATGTACTGGCCCAGCTTCAACTCAGCCATATCCTACCACGGCGACAGCCAGCACCGAGCTGCCATCAATACCTACTGCTCCTTGGCAGCCTGCGTGCTTACCTCAGTGGCAACATCCAGTGCCCTGCACAAGAAGGGCAAGCTGGACATGGTGAGCATGAGGGCATTGGGGGTGTGGCTGAGTGCCTGGGCCTGGAAGGTGCCATCACCATGGCCTGCCCACAGCTCCGAGGGGATTATCACACCCATCTTGCAGATGAGGCTGGGAGAGAAATGATTCATTTTGAGCACATGGGCAGTTTTCAGCAGCACCCAGAGTGAGAGTCTTGGAGGTCTGGCTGTTTCAATGGCTCTTACTCCTCATCATCTTGCTCATAACCCAGGTGCTGATTTTATTCTGGGCTGAACAGTGCATCTGGCCTGCCCAGCAGAGTTGCTGGGGGTGCGTCCCCTCTGCCAGGCTCTGAACCTCCAGACACCGGCCTTCAGCCTGCTGTTTTATTTTTTAGAGATGGGGTCTCACTCTGTCACCCAGGCTGGAGTGCAGTGACACAATTATAGCTCACTGTAGCCCCAAATCCTAGACTCAAGCGATTCTCCTACCTCAACTCCTGAATAGCTAGGTACAGGCATGCACCACCACACCTGATCAATTTTTAAAAATATTTTGTAGAGACAAGATCCACTATGGTTGCCCAGGCTGGTCTCAAATGTCTGGCCTCGAGTGATCCTCCCGCCTCAGCCTCCTAAGGTACCTGGATCACAGGCTTGAGCCACTGTGCCCAGCCAGGCTTCCTACAGTCACCACACCTGCCCCATCCCATGCACTCAGAGAGGCAGCCCCTGTAATGCTTTGTCCACTGAACTGGGCAAGTTTTGGGGAGTGTCATGTTGCAGAATGTCCCTCATATCACATGGCAGCTATTTTTGTCATTCGTAGGAGGGGCCAAATTCCATAGAATTTGGCAGATTTTTCCATGAAAAATAAGGACACTCTTTATCTTCTAACGTTTCTTTTTTTTTTTTTTTTTTTTTTTTTTTTTTTTTTTTTTTTAGATGGAGTCTTGCTCTGTCACCCAGGCTGGAGTACAGTGGCATGATCTCAGTTCACTGCAACCTCCGTCTCTTGGGTTTAAGCAATTCTCCTGTCCCAGTTTCCTGACTAGCTCGGACTACAGGCACAGGCCACCACATCCAACTAATTTTTGTATTTTTAGTAGAGCTAGGGTTTCACTATCTTGGTCAGGCTAGTCTCCAACTCCTGACCTCAGGTGATCCACCCGCCTCGGAAGTTGGGATTACAGGCATGAGCCACGGTGCCCCACGTAGGTTATAATCTGACACAAGCATCTTGACATGGCATATGTGTGCCAAGACACTGTCAGGAGTATCCATTATTTGGCAACACTGTCACCATGCAGAGAGGTGTGGACTCGGGTACCTGGGGAAGAGTCAGACACACTGACTGGCACACCTGTGTGTATCCACACCCACCTGCAGGGAGGGACATGGAATAGGGTCAAGGATGGGGACTCTGGGGCCACAAGGCCTGGAACAAGACACCGTTCTGCCTCTTGCTAGCTCTGTGTTCTTGGACAAGCCACTTAACCCCCCTCACCTCTGTTTCCTCATCTGCAAATGTTGCAAGGTAACTGTCCGCACCTTGCAGACTTGTAGCAATGGAAAGAGCTAAGCTCCACAGCCAGCAGCATGGTACCCGGGACAGGTTAGCACTCAGACAGCAGCAGCCAGCGCGTGCAAATGTCTTACCCATAGGCACTTGACGTGGACTTGCAGGCTTGGCACGAACATTCAGAAACGCTAGTCTGGCACAAAGGTATACATGGCGCACATAAAACAACGGTGAAGCTGGTGTCGGGGCTCACTGGCAGGTGCACCAGCATGTGGAAAATGCCCAGACTTGCTAAGGGGGATGGGTGGCGTGTGCAGAGGGACGGACACGGGGCAGCAGCAGCAAGCCCAGGCGGGCGCTGGAGTTCTCTGCATGCTCCTGGCTTGCTGTGGTCAACTCCGAGCCATCCCTGGCTTCCAGGCCCAGGCTGCACCCCTCCCCCGCAGCCAGTGAGTGAGCCCCTCCAGGCCCGGTGCTCCAGGAAAGCACCGAGTTCCTGCCCGTTCTGCCTGCCCTGTCCAGGTGCACATCCAGAATGCCACACTCGCGGGAGGAGTGGCCGTGGGTACCGCTGCTGAGATGATGCTTATGCCTTACGGCGCCCTCATTGTCGGCTTCCTCTGTGGCATCTTCTCCACCCTAGGTTTCGTATACCTGACCGTAAGTGCCCAAGCAAGGGGCTGGGGGCTGGAGAACGCTGAGGTCTTTGTGTTCCTGGCAGCGAGCCGAGGGTTCCTCGGGAGGGGGCTGAGGGCTAGAGAACCCTGAGTCTCTGAGTATTTGAGGGTCTGCCCCACACCCTTGCTGCAGCCCCCGGCCTGAGCAGCACCTGCTTCTCCTCTCCAGCCATTCCTGGAGTCCCGGCTGCAGATCCAGGACACGTGTGGCATTAACAACCTGCACGGCATTCCTGGCATCATAGGCGGCATCGTGGGTGCCGTGACGGCGGCCTCTGCCACCCCGGAAGTCTACGGAGAAGAAGGGTAAGTGTGGCGGAGGCGTGGCCGGGTGGAGCATCCCCTTTCCTTCTCCATCCCTTCCTCCTGCTGTTCCTCTGGGACCCTACTGTGTCTCTCTCCCTTTCCTTCGCTGCTCTGGACCAACTGTTTAATGGGCCGCTCTCCCCAGCCTCTGTGACTTCCCAGAAGTCTTAGAGACCAACCAATATGTCCGGTGTTCCCATGCTGTGAATCGGAAGGCTGAGGCCTGTGGTACCCGCTCAGATTTTTGGGGTGGAGCAAGCGGTTACTTGGCTTCCCCATGGGGCCCTGACCTGTCCCCTGTCTCCACCCCAGGCTTGTCCATTCCTTTGACTTTCAAGGTTCGAAGGCGAACTGGACCCCAAGAACACAGGGAAAGTTCCAGATTTATGGTCTCTTGGTGACCCTGGGCATGGCCCTGATGGGCGGCATCATTGTGGGTGAGCAGGAGTGGCTGGGCCAGAGAATGGAGGCTGCTGTGGGGCTCCCCGGGTGGGGAACCAAATGGTAGGCAGTACAGGTCAGCCGGGAGCCCCCAGGAATTCCTGAGCTCTGCACTTCTGGCTACGGGACTGGGGAGATTTGGACCTCAGCCCAAGGGCCCCAGGAGGATTCTCCCAGCTGAGAGAAATGGCCGGGGTGGGCAGAGAGAAAGCATTTCCTGACATCCTGTGATCTCCAACTTTCTGTAGGACTTATTTTGCGATTACCATTCTGGGGACAACCTTCAGATGAGAACTGCTTTGAGGATGCGGTCTACTGGGAGGTGAGCTCTATGGACTTGTCCCCCTGAAGGAGGCCAGAGGCGTTCCCTTCCCACCTCCACCTGCATCAGCTGGGCTGGGGCCTGGGGAGCCAGATACCAGGGTGGGGATCAGACCCTACATCACCCCACCTCATCGGGGAAGGCTATATCTCAAGGAGTTGAAGACTCTTCCCTCCTCTTCCCTCTAGACCCCAGGGCTTGGAGTGGGTGGTGTGTACCTCTCTTTCTGCAACCCTGGGGTCGAGGGGTGACAGAAGCAAGCTCAGGGCTGCAGCTGGAGCTTACTCTTGTCCCTAAAGACTCAGCTTTATTCTAGCGCAGTGGTCCCATGGTATGGTGGCCAGCACTATCAGCACTGAAAACTGGTTAGAAGAGCCGATTTTCACTGGGTGCAGTAACTCACGACTAATCCCCACACTGGGAGGCTGAAGCAGGAGGACGGCTGGAGCCAAAGGGTTTGAGACTAGCCTCAGCAACATAGGGAGACCCACTCTCTACAAAAAAAGTAGAAAAATTAGCCAGATGTAGTGGCATGCGTCTGTAGTCCCAGTTACTCTGGAGGCTGAGGCAGGAGAATCATTTGAGTCCAGGAGGTGGAGGCTAAAGTGAGCTATGATGGTGCCACTGCACTCTGGCCTGGGCAGAAGAGCAAGACCCTATAAGAAAGAAAGAAAGAAAGAAGAGTCTGGGCATAGTGGCTCATGCTTGTAATCCCAACACTTTGGGAGGCCGAGGTGGGTGGATCATGAGGTCAGAAGTTCGAGACCAGTCTGACTAACAGGGTGAAACCCCATCTCTACTAAAAATACAACAATCAGTCAGGTGTGGTGGCGTGTGCCTATAATCCCAGCTACTCAGGAGGCTGAGGCAGGAGAATCTCTTGAACTGGGAAGGTCAAGGTTGCAGAGTCGAGATCACGCCACTGCACTCCAGCCTTTAACAGAGTTAGACTCTGTCTCAAAAAAAAAAAAAAAAAAAAAAAAAAAAAGAGAGAGAGAGAGAGAAGACAGCCAGCCTGGGCTGGCAATCACAGTGCAGTGCTCAGCTTCCATCTCCATAAGAACCACCTGGAAACCTTCCCAGACACCACCCCAGAGGTTCCGATTCAGTAGGGCCTGCAAGTGACAAGCTCCCAGGTGATTCTGATACAGAAACTGAATTCTGGACTGCGTGTGGAGGCTCATGCCTATAATCCCAGCACTTTGAAAGGCCAAAGCAGGCAAATCCCTTGAGATCAGGAGTTCGAGACCAGCCTGGCCAACACAGTGAAACCCCATCTCTACTAAAAATACAAAAATTAGCCAGGCTCAGTGTCTCATGCCTGTAATCACAGCTACCCAGGAGGCTGAGGCAGGAGAAATGCTTGAACCCCAGGGAGTGGAGGTTGTAGTGGGCCAATATCTGGCCACTGCACTTTAGCCTGGGCAACAGAGCCAGACTCTGTCTCAAAAAAAAAAAAAAAAAGAAAAAGAAAAAGAAAAACAGAGCTGTGCAACACTCCATCACTTCCAGCAGCTTGAGAAACGTTGTAGATTTGAAAGTGGCAGAATGAACTCAGTTTCCTTAAGAACATTCGGCAGTCTGGGCTCTCTGTGACTTCAGGCCAGCCTCTCCCCATGAATCATGATTGGACGTGCCTACCTGCCACTGGATGAGGGAGGATGGCAGGACTCCCCTCATGCCTCCTGCACTGTCCCCTCATGACATGTGTGAGGACCTGCCTGTGTCTATAGCTCCTAGGACAAGGGACCAATACCAGAGGTTTTCAGGGTAAATTTAATATCTACCATAAACTAATTTCATGCACATAATGAATGTCTCTTAAATTCCTAAAAATTTTGTAAATTAAAAATGACTAGATGTTCATTAAAGAAAATCCAGAAATAGAGAAAAACAGAAATCTCATCACCCTATATCAAGCAATATTAATATTTTCTAGTATATTTCCTTCCTTTTCTTTGCACAGATTTTTCTTACACAGTTGAGATTCTCTTTCTCCTTAGCTATCATAAGGATTGTTCTGTGTTATTACATTCCCAATAAACTTTTTCTCACAGCATAATTATTTCTAGTCTATATCTAATAGTTAGAACTTAAACTATTTTAGACACCACAATTAGAAACCACACAGATTTTACACTAATGAAATACGTCAGAAATGTTATCAGTTCCCCCAAATAGAAGTTCCCTCTTGGTTCTGTTTTGATCTTTATAATTTATTCCAAGTTCACACCTCTCAGCTCTGTACACCTTGAGCAGGACAGCTGTTCCCCAGTAACCTCTCGGGATTGGTTGCAGGATCCCTCACTGGTATGCTCAAGCCCCTGATAGAAATTGGCATAGTATTTGCATATAAGCCTACATATCTTCTCCCATATGTTTTATGTAATCTCTAGATTATCTAACACAATGTAAATGTCGTCTTATTTGTATTTTTTCTTGTTGTATTGTCATTTTTTGTTGCTTTTTCTGAATATTTTCAACCTGTGGTAGGTGTAACCCACTGATACAAAACCCATGGGTATGGTGGGCTGGCTGTACCTGGTTGGGAATAATGAATTCCGTGCCAATGGAAGGAACAGCATCAGGCCATCCCTGAGCCCCTGGGGGGTTTACCTTGGAAGTGAGGTGGCTTCTCAGAGGATGGGGAATGGACCAACGTTCCCCAGGAGGCAAGGCAGGGCTGACCTGCCCCACCCACACTCCACCTCTCTACCCACTTCTGGCCTTCCTTGCACCTTCCCAATCCCCGTTTCGGACCTGCCTTTAGTTGAAAGAGCTTGCCATACTGCCTCTTACCTGACATCTGGCCCTTACTCCTACTCATCTTTTAAAAGTGGATTCAGTACAACTTCTCAGCATCCCCAGGCTGGGTTATAAGCCTCTCGTGTGCAATTACAACTCTTACTGTCTCTGGGTATTTCACGGGAATGCCTCACCATTGCTCTCGTGGGGCAAGGACCCCATCTCATCTGTGCCACGCCCCAGGACCCAGGACAGTGCCTAGTATGGGGTAGGGGCAGGACGCCGGTGTCGAAGGACCACCTTGCTCTCTGTGGCATGTGATCTGCACAGCAATCACAAGGTGGCGCTCGCCACACACCATTTGCAGTTCCAGGATATTCTAGTTGCCAGGGACACCCTGCCTGGCCTGGGACAGGGCCCTAGGAGTCGCATCCTCTCTCTGCAGATTCCTGAAGGGAACAGCACTGTCTACATCCCTGAGGACCCCACCTTCAAGCCCTCAGCATCCTCAGTGCCCTCGGTATCCATGACATCCCCACTACCCATGGCTTCCTCGGTACCCTTGGTACCCTAGGGGCCCAGGGCCCCCTGAGGAGCAGGTGAGCATGGGCTTGGTCTGCGGGGATGACAGGGAGGTTCTCCCAGTGGGGGTCCAGCTCTCAGAATCAGATGCTCCCGGTAAAAAGGCAAAAAGCAAACATCGAGAAATGAGGGCTCCCGCCCCTCCTGCCTGGGTGTAGTGAGCACACTGGGTTGGCAGGGGAACTTCTGAGTCAGACAACACACATCCAGGACAGATGCAGAACATCCAAAGGCATGAGGGCCTGGGAGGCACAGGGAAGGAGACCTGGGGCACACTTGGCTGTGTGACTGTGCCTGCTGGCTGTGACTTTGAAGATCTGCTCACCGTAGAGGCTGAGCCTCGATTTCCTCATCTATAAAAGGTCTGGCTGTATTCAGCTGCACAGCTCAGATGAGACTCACCCTCCCCTCCTTCCTTCCATCAACTCACACTTTGCCTCCTCTGTGGAAGGCACCAAGCCCATACTCATGGCTTCCACATCTCACCTTCCCAAGATCTCTGCACGGCAAGTAGGAAGACTGCCCTCTTTCTAATAGATGAGGAAACTGAGGCTCAGGGAAGTTCAGGTTCCTCAAGATCACACAACCAGCAAGTGGAGAAGCTGGGGTCCTTGCTGGTCATTGTTACTGTTATTGTTATTTTACTTCCTTGGAGGCCGGAGCTTGGAAATAACTGGGTCTGGGGCAAGAGGCTGAGCAAAGCGGCAAGAGAAGACGTTAGGGTGCCAGAAAAGAGGATGGGGGGGGCTCTGCCCCATTGCCTTGAATCTCCACCCCATCCAGAAAAGAAAATCGTTCCCAAGAGGCTGCAGCAGGGCCCAGCAGTGACCCACTGATCTTGGCTGTCTCCCTGTAGTGTGCAGACTGCCCCAGGGCTCCAGCGGAGCTGGTGCTGACCTACCTGGAGAAAAACAGCAAGAAAGCAGCACCCCCACCACTGGCCTGGCCCCACGAGCCTCCATCCCACCCCTCCCCTTCATCCCAGGGAGTCTGCCTGAGAATGGAGGAGAAGCTACAAAGTGGGTGTCCAAGCCAGGTTCTGGCTGCAAAAGTTCTGCTTCTGTCCTGGGTCTTGACCACGTTTGAGAAACATGGGCTCAGAGTGGGGCTGGGGCCTGGGGGTGAACCTGAGCTCTTCCAGGAAACAACTTAGTGCAGTCACCACCTGTGAGGCTCTTCTACCCTCACCTGTACCACAGCCAGCATCTCCTGTGCTCCCTGGGTCCCCCAGACTGCTCTGTGTCATGTAGGTGGTAGCCTCCAGGAATAAACATTCTTGATGTCCTTTGTAAAGTGGGTGTGAATGCTCCAGTGGGGACAGTTTGAGAGAGAAAAGGACCCCAGAGACCTGCTTCTGCCCCAGCCCTTACCTGCATCCAAAGATACCACCTACACTGCAAGAAAAACCATCCCAGACTGAAGAGGCAAAACCCGGGTGCTGGAGCCTCCTTCAACCTGGGGCACACAGCAGGGCTCAGCTCTGGGCTGGGATCTTGCTTCAGGGCCCCTCCATTACCTACTCCAGAAACAGCCCTTAAGAAAGCTGGCATCCCTGTGGGGCCCTCCATGTGGTCCTGCTCTGGGCAGTAACTGCCATGCAGAAAAAGGTGGGGTTGAAAAGGGAGTTGCCTCTGATATCCAGTCGGTGTGAATCAGCCTTAGGTTTCCTGCCTCCAGACACTGTTCTCCTGCCTCATTCCTCTGCGCACCCCTCTCCAGAAAGACATGATCCCAGAAATCTTTATGGGAGACAGAGGGACTCTGGGGCTCCCTTAGGCCCAACTCCTCCTCCCCATCCCTTCCATTCTTCCTCTCTGCCAAGCCAGCCTTCTTCTCCCTGGACAGTGAGGGAAGACTTGAAGAGGGTGGATCTCCCAGGCCCATCAGCACCCTGGGCAGAGTAATACATACTTCCTGCCTTCAGGGGCTCACAGTCTAGCTGGGGGACAGACCTGATGCACAGAGTCCACTCTGAACTCTGACAGGTATGGCTGGACAGTCTGTGCCCAGTTGGCTTCCCAAAGCAGGGTCACCTGAGCAGGGTTCTGGAGGGTGAATAGGAGTTTACTAGAAGGATGGCAAAGGAACAGCATGGACACAAACCCATGGGTAGGTCTGCTACCGGCTAGAAGAGAGGTGACGCAAAAGTGTGCCAGCTGGAGAATAAGGCATGGAATCCGGATCTTTCGTGGAGCAAAGACTCCTGGGAAGAAGAGGTGAGGGAAGAGGGAGGAGGTCTCTCAGCCTCAACTCCGCCCTCCCCACCCCCTTGCAATTCACACACACACACACACACAGACACACACACACACACACACGGTTGCATGCCTCTCTCCAGTGTACGGGGTGGGGGGGAGGGGAAGGAAGGAGCTGAAATGCAATCTATTCATGTTCCCTCGATGTAACACCCCTCATTTTCCATGCTGGGTAAAGACAAAAACCCTTTACAACCTGTTTCTGGAACTTGTCAGCAGCTGCCAAGAGGAGCATGTTAATTAAACATCGGCAAAGATGGAAGCCGGAGGCCCCGGCTCTAATTGGACAGTTTGCTTCACCGGATTGAAAAACATTGTGACAAAGGAGGAGGTGCGCGGCGCTCGGCAGGGGTGCGGCGTGGCAGGGAGGGGAGCTGTGGTTTTGATTTCAGCTGATCCGAACCCCAGCCTCCCTCCCCCAGCGAAGCCGCCTGGCCCAGCCCCACACATCCACTAAGGGACTGGGAGGGGCCCACAGTATGAGTGGATGTGGGGTGGTGTGGGAGGAAGGTGGGGGACTGTTGGTGGGGTTCCTGAAGCCCACCTCCCACTGCCCCCCACCCCAATCCTGGCCTCAGCCAGGCCAGCAGTATTGGGCCCACCTCAGGGCCAGGCTTTTAGGGCTGTGAGGCTCACCCCTCCTCCTGATCAGGTGACCTGGGTCCTGGGGGCTACCTAGGGAGGGCAGGGGCCCAGTGAAGGTTTCCAGCTCCCTCATGGCAAGGGGGAGGTGGCACTGGGAGCCTATGCTCAGCACATCTATTACCGGTTCAGGGTAGCTGTCCAGGTTCTTGGCGTTTTGAACAAAGAACTGGATGAAATGCATAAAGCAAGGCAGCCAGAGCAAAAGTACACTCCACGGGGTAGGAGCAGGCTCCAACAGACAGCTAAGCCTGGACCACAGAATTTTCTGGGGTTTAAATACCCTCCAGGTGTTTCCCATTGGTTTGCTCTTTGCAAACAACGTAGTGGCCACAAACACTCTGATTGGTTGCAGGAGGGGACGATTAGGCCTCCTACAATCTGATTGGTTGCAGAAGGGGCGGAGTAGGCTCATGACCAGTCTGATTGGTTGTGGGAGGGGATCAATCAGAGGTACTTTAATTTCTAACGGTCAGGCAGCGACTGCCATGCAGAAAAAGGCGGGGTTGAAAAGGGAGTTGCCTCTGATAACCAGTCAGCATGCATCAGCCTTAGGTTTCCTGCCTCCACCCTATTCTCCTGCCTCATTTTCCCCAAGAGACATGATCCCCAGAAATCTTTATGGGAGACAGGGAGACTCACGGTCTTTCTTCTGTAAATGCTTCACACTGACTTGAGGCGCAGTCTTACCTGTTGGGGATCTCAGAACTCCCGCTCTGATCTATCCAGTGGAGACAGTCAGAGTAGTTTCTTGATAGCCGAGGTGCTGTCTTTATTTGGAGCTGGCTGGAAAGCTTGTCACATGATCATCTGAAACTCGATGCTCTCTAGGTGAGAGGAAATGAATTTGGTTAAAAGATTCAGTGGGAACTTGGGCGGGTGGATACCTCTGCTGTCAGGAACGTTTGCTATGGGAATGAATCACAACATTCTGCTAAATCACTGCAAAGGAAGTGATTCCAATCATTTGACAGAAAGCAATTAAACTGAAAAAATAAATAAATAAAAACATGTCTGCCATTATCCAGCCTACAGTAACTACACAACAGAAACACCAAGGAAAGTTGGTAGGCATTTACTTGTGTTTTGGCTGCCTTCTAAACAGGCACTTCAGGCTCCTGGTCCAGGGCTTTGAGTATCACAGACTTGATCCTTGAAAGATGTACCCAACTATCTAATCCTAGTACCTTGACCATACAAGCCGTAGCCAGTACCACTGAAAACGTTACCCTCCATTGGGGTTGCGATTGTTGAGCAGGTGACCCCTCCTTCCGTGTTTTAACAACTACCTTATCCCTCAGCCTAATCTCGGGTTGCTGATTAGTTCCTAGTATGGGGAGCCTTTGAGCTCTAAACTTTTGTAAAACCTGAAATTGTCCTAGGTTAACTAGGTATTTTACTAAACCAGCTGTTTCTGGATCAGTAATCAGATCATTAGTTAAGAATGGCCTTATAGGTTATATTAATTTTTGCTCTAGGGGTATTAAGGATCCTTAAGAGGGCTATGGGTGCTGACCCAAGTTTTTGATATTTCCCGACATAGTTTAGTTAATGCTCACTTTAGAGTTTGGTTGGCCCTTTCTGCTTTCCTGGAGGATTGAGGCCTCCACGCTGAATGTAAATAGTATTGGATTCCAAGAGCCTTGGCCACCCCTTGAGTTATTTGGGAGATAAACGATGTGTCATTATCACTTTGAAGACTCTGAGGTAACCCAAACAGGGGGATTATTTCTTTGAAGAGAAGCTTTATAACCTCACTAGCCTTCTCTGTTCTGGTAGGGTAAGCTGCGACCCAACCAGTAAAGGTATCTATTAGCACTAACAAAAACTTGTATCCTCTGCCAGCTGGCATATGGTTGATGTCTAAGTGCCGGTCGTCCATTGGTAAGTTCCCCTCCTTTGGACTGGTTCTATTAGAGTAGCCATTTTGTTTCCTGGGCTGTCAAGTGCACACAGTGAGCAGGCTTGACAGACCTGCTTAAGCACCGAAGCTGAGTCAGGCCCAGTGACGAGCCTGTTAAGCGTGGCCAGGGTGGCACCTTTCCCCATAAGGAAGGAGTCATGCAGGGTTTTTATAATTCTCCACTGGGCTGTTTGAGGGAGATGTATTTTTGATGCCACATACCACCGGGATCCTTGTTTTTGCCTCCCTTGCTCCTTTACTAAGTGTTCTTCCTGTAGTGTATTCTCAGGTTCTACTGGGAAATCACAGAAAGGAAGCAGTGCTAGGATCTGTCAGGATTACACCTACACCCTGAGGCCTGCAGCTTTGGCTTCTCTATCAGCGCTTCTGTTCCCTTGCGCTATAGGGGTTAGTACCTTTGAGGCCCCCTACAGTGGATTATAGCTGCAGCCTTTGGCAGGTGTATTGCTTCCAATAGCTGAAGAATTTGGGGCCCATGGTTTATGGGGGAGTGTTTGCCAGCTAGTGATCCCCTTTCTTTCTAGATTGGAGCATGAGCGTGAACCACAAGAAATGGGTATTTAGAATCTGTATAGATGTTAAGCTTGTTCTTTTGTCTCAGCATTAATGCTCAGGTAGGAGCAATGATTTCAGCCTTTTGTGCTGATGTGCCAGAGGCAGTGGCTGGGCTTTAAGAATGGCATTGACTATTGCATACCCAGCTCAGTGCTCTCCATGTCACATAGAACTGCCATCTGCGAGCCAGTCCTCAGAATCTGGGAGAGGCTGATCTTTTAAATGATCTAACATATGTGTGTGCAATGATTTGCTCACAGGAATGATCAGTTATTGGATATCAGTGAAGCTGGATTAGAAGGGTTACAGGTTTTAAGGGTTACATCCGGATTGTCTAGGAGCATGGCCTGGCATTTGGTTAACCTTTCCCCCATCATCCAAACGTGCCTCTTTATCTCTAAGACTGACTTTACCTGATGGAGGGGTTAGAACTTACAGTAGTTGGCCCAGGGTGATTTTAGCGGCTTCCTCCACTAACATAGTGGTAGCTTCTGTTCCCCTCAGGCAACCTGGCCATCCTGAGGCCACTCTCTCTAACTTCTTTGAAAAGTAGGTATTTGGTTTGTGTTCTAATCCGAATTTCTGGGCTAGGTAGCACTCCCACAGCTATGCCCTTATTCTCTGCTACATACAAGGGAAGGGCTTAGTTAGGTCTGGGGTGCCAAGAGCTGGCGCCTGGGTAAGGGCCTATTTTAGCTTGGCAAAGAGTTCTGTCATTTCCGGGTCCATTCATTCCCTCATTTTCAGGCCTCTTTATTGTTTAATAGGGGCTTTGCTATGAGCCCCTAAATTTGGTACCCATATTCCACAAAACCTGGCCATTCCCCAAAAAGAAGGAAGCTGCTGCTTGGTGGGGTGCGGGTGGAGGGCAAACCACAGATGGCTTGCACTCATTCTGAGAGTATTTGTCAGGTTCC